AATCCTTCTCGATATTGGAATCGCCGAAAACTTTCGGGTGTGTGTCAGGACTCACCGCCGCGCCTCGAAACTAGGTCGCCGCGCTGGGAAGTGGGTCACCGCGCGCGGCGATTACATGCTTTAACATGTTTGCATGTTTGGACATGTTCTTGGCAGATGGAAGATGAGGAAAAGAGAGAACGCTCCAAGCAAACTGCGATAGGGTCATATTGATCGGAAGTTGGCAAAATGCCAGGTCAGGACTCACCGCCGCGCCACGCGAACAGGTCGCCGCGCGCGGTGACCTAGTTTCGAGCGCGGCGGTGACTCCTGGCCGTCTCCCAAACTTTTCTCTTATGGAAGTGTGTCGCCCAAAAACTCCGCGGACAATCTTATCACACAAATGCACACCCAAACATCTAATGTAGCGCACCCACGTCAGCCTATTTATTCCCATCGCATGTAAACTTCCAACGAGATCACACTGCCACTATGGAAAAGAGCATCCAAATGAGGAAAGCACTCACGACGAATTTTCCACTCCTCTCCACCAGGAACTTCAACAACTTCTCTACTATCACTCCATTTTATCTCTGACGTATTTGCGCGAAGGCCATTGTAATTCCAGCTCCAGTCCATAGTTAATAGATAAGGCTCAATGGTGCATCAAACTCTGTGTTGAAAACAACATTTATTGATAACCAAGAGATCGTTTACAGCAAAAACTCCTACTGGAAACCCTGACATACCAACATTTGATCAGATCTATTATGGATGAGAATGAATGATAGACTATAACTTTTATGAGTAAATTACAACGAGTTAACAGAGGAGCTCAACCTACGACAATACCAAAGAGGAGCAGGAGTGATTTCATGCAGGAACAAGGAGAATAAAAATATATAAGTAGACACCAATACCAACTCAATCAACTGCACCAAAACAACCGATAAATGAAATGGGAGCACTCGGTAAGTACCACGTGAGATTTCAAGAGACTATCCCGTCAAATCGTTACGTTTCCATGTCCACCTGATAGTAGCTCGACCAAATGAACGATGAGTCCCTGAAGAGTGTAACGTCACTTTGAAAATACTATTGAAATCAGCCGCAAATTATGAAAGCTATGGAGTTTGCTGTCTCCATGACGCGGAGGAATCGGACAATGCAATGGGCTCATTTTGCTTATAATGGTTGCACCACAGTGATCTGTGTACTTCTACCTCGGTACCATGGCAGACAACATGTGTAGGCAAGGTCACAGGCCTCATTCGATGCGGCAAGGTGGAGGCCGGTGATAGATTTAGCTCAAGCTGCAGTCATTCGGCGAGGAACGGTGGAGACGGACCTTAGGGTTTTTTTAGGGCAGGCAACGTGCATGCCCTAAAGAGGGGTTGGGAGCCGCGGTTAGCGAATAATGCCGATCGTCAGGACGGTGCCTGTCCACGACAGTCTCTGCCTCTTAAAGGTGGGTAGAGAGCTGGTTCTTCAAAGGTCATTTCCGAGTTTACGAAGAGTCATACTAAAAATGAAAATAAAGAAACCCTGCTTACCAGGAAAGGTCAACGGGTCAGCCGCGTTTGCAATGAGGTGCTCATCATTGTACTCTCCTCGAGACGATGAACGAAACTATCTTTCAATCTGCGGAACGATTCTCCGAGTGGAGTTATGAAGGTTTTTCTCTACTGTCGCGCTTGCGCCGGGGCGTTGGCACCTGTAGCGCGACAATACAAAGTCGCGCTACAGGGCAAATATCTCAGGAGCTTTGCCGGCCATGATCTTGAAAAATGCAAAAGTGAGCGAGCTCCCGAAAACCAATCCCACGCACTCTCGCCCGAAGAATCCGCTCGTTACCTGTTGCGCCCTACTGCCACGTTTCACAACGACTCTCCACGTATATAAAGGAAGCTTCCAGGAAGGAGTTTTCTTGATAGCATGTAAAACAACCACTAGGGTAGAAAACCCTCCATAACTCCGTTCCGTTCTGAGAATCGTTCCGCAAAATTTGAAGGAAGATTTGAGTTCACCGTCTCCAGACGCGTACAACGGTGTGCACCTCAATGGAAATGGCCGGCCTACTGACCTTTTCTGGTCAGTGAATGAAGAAAGTATACATTCATTGACGAAACTTCAAATTCTCATGGAACTTTGCGAGAAGGCCCAACCACATCCCAGTTCGCTGCGGATGAAGGGGCGTGTCAGGCAATATGAGTGAGCCGCGACGCCAAATCCGTTTTCTGCCAGTTGTTGAAGTGGGTATGCGACAACAAATGATATAAAACGAGTGATACGAACGATATGATACGTCTTGTCACTCGCTTCAACAAGTGGTAGTGAATGGGTTTGGCACTGCGTCAAGTTCATCCCCCTTGACACACCCCTTCGTCCGCAGCGAACTAGACTACAGGGGGGCCAAAAAAAGTCACTTCGACCGAGTCACATATCAGCAAAGTTTTCGCAGCCCAGAGAGAAGACGTGGATACGAGTACCAGGGCGGAAGATACCCAAGATGTTCCTCGATAAGCAGGAGCTGGCCCTCGCCCATCACCTTCATGTACACCAAAATATGAGTCATCTCCAGTCGCAGCCTGACTGGAGAAGACCTTTGGAATTCATGTCACCTCCAAACAGCTGCGAAACTTCTAGTGTGGAGTCACCCATGGGTAGCTACCTGGAGACCAGTACTCTCGATCTGGAAGACCTCCAACATCGAGCAGCTCCGACAACGTCGCCACGGTCTAGGACATCATCTTCACCACAGTCGCCAAGGCGCGGGTTGATGGTATGGACCGGACGTACCTGGAATGGAAAGACCAATATTTTCTTCGTGGACCCCGGGCTGAAGCTGAGCGCTGGCGGTTACATCGACCAACTCAAGAAGAATATCTTCCCCACATGTCGTCGCCCGTACCTTCTTGGAAACTTTGTACTGCTACAGCATTGGGTGCCACCACGTGGAATCGAAGGGCGTTGGAGAAACTCTCGCCTACCTGGAATGGAAGGGGGCTGAGTACCTAAAGAAGATGGAATATCAAGTAGGTCACCTGACCTGAATCCCCTCAATTACCCGGTTCGGGCGGAGTTCAATAGGGTGGTCTACGGTGGCGGAGAAATCGACTATCTCGCTGATCTCAGGGACCACATCGCGGTTGCGTGCCAGAATCTCTCGATGGCGCTCCTCCAGAAGGCTGTGGCGGAGTGTCATAATAGTATTTAATATGCTCTTTAATATGGGTAGAAATGTCCGATCAATTTATAAAGTGTAACTTATAGCGCCTCGAAAGTCAATGAAGCAAAGTGACTTTTTTTTGCCCCCCCCCCCTGTATAAACCTGTAGTCTGGAACGGTTGCTGGGAACAAAAAGCGCTAACGAAGTATGCCAGAGGAGTTCTGAGCGACTACAAATGCCGTAAAGGCAACGCTGATATCTGACCGTAAGCAGGCCTACCCTTCAATGGTAAGTGCAAATGGTAAAAGTGGCGTAGTGGGAGCGTTTTCGCTTTACAAAAGCGCATGAGGTTGCCTTGGTTAGTGCGATCACCGCTTCTACATGCGCCAAAGTATATACCTTGCAATTACCTGCAAGGTATACTACACCTGAAGGGATCCACGCTAAACAAGCATAACAACATATACAAACACCACTGAGCTGATGGTGAGAGGGTAGGAGCGGGCATCAGTGGTGCAGTAATGGACTCGCCCAATCAACGGTAGATGCGGGTTCGAGTTCTGCCCGGGCCTGTGCCCTTAACTCGGCCTTCTTGCGATAGTTTTTGCTCACAACTCATGGCCAGCATCCTTGTGCTGTGCAGCACGAAAGTTTGCTCCCCTAACGCGTAGATGAACTAAACGTGAACTTACAAGTCAACTGCACATCGAAACATGCCTCATACCCATCTAGTGTATTTTGTAACTAAATATTGAGAAATTTTTACCTGCGGATCCGTCTTGGCAACGAGGCGAATAGGAACGATCTCATCCTGCCTGCTTTCGAAACCACTTGGCAAAGGTTCCTTATAGCTTACAAGAATGACAGGCTCGTCGTACTGAAGCACAGGCATGATTGAAGCTCAAGAATTGAAAAATAATTGGCAGATTCCCTCACCTTAGCAGAAAATCCTTTATATGCATCAACAACACATCCATTTGTGTATCCTAGCTCATTATCTGCGGTAATCGTGCGTTTAACCTTTCGATGTCGCTGGAAGGTAAGAAAAGCAAATACTTCATGCACTATGCAGAACATTATGAGGGTACACCTTGGCTGAGGAGACGTCTCCGTTGCGTTTTTCATGGCTATCTTGAGGAGCAGCTCTCTTCTTTTTCTTTTTCGCTTCAGAATGAGTGCCAGACCTTTTGCCGGCGCTCTCATTCTTCCCATGCTTTCCATTTTCCTTCATTTCCTCAAATGAGTAAGGTTTTGTTTGCAACAAACTGAAAGTAGTCACGACAGAATGCCGATGAATTTTATGCGAATACAGCTTACGTTCGTTCTCTCCGGCGTAGATGAGCGTTCGTCATTGCCATTACTCGAACCTCCACCTTCGGCAGCTTGACTTGCACTATGCTGCATTGCAGTAATTATGCTAGTATCTCCACTTTCTTTCACTTTCTCCTTGTAAGCTTCCTAGCAACTCGGTACAGTTCTGAAATATGGGCTGTTCAACAATCGAACGACTACAAAAAGCTAAGAACATGAAGTGGAACACGCATGGAACTCAGCAACGAATTAGACTTCAACGGTGCTGCTACAAAATGTCGCAAGTCTAAAAACTGCAAGGAATGGCTGCGACACAGTGTCGAAGTGTTGTAGTGCAGCACTATAGGCGTTGCAGCACTTGTAGGAAAGGAGCGTGAGGAAATAATTTCGCTTTCGGCTAGTGGTAAGCATAAGCTCTGAATAGAGAACGGGAATAAGCATTGACGAGTGGTTCCACAGTTTCATTGAAATGCGTTCATAGTTCCCAGTTGGGATCGCGCGAGTGCTCATATCGATAGTACTCACTACTAATCGGTGAAGCGCTGCCACAGTTAATTCAACTACGTTCCGTATAGAAGATTCCTGTCTATTTTTTCGCGCTTACTTATTACATAGAATATGACGAATATAGTCTAGTTCGGTGCGGACGAAGGAATCTTGTCTCGTTCGAGCTCCAAGGGCTAGTGGAAAACGGCTTGACATCAAACTCATCCCGTCTGACACGGCCCATATCTTTCGGATCACTCGTTTTATCTAATGTTGTCGCTGATTCAAGAACAACAACTGGCAGAGAACTGGCCTGGCGCCGTGGCACACTCTTATCAGCCTGACACGCCCCTTCATCCGCAGCGAACTACAGTTTCAGCGTAAGAAGGCTCCTGCCAGATATTATACCACGTCTATGGCAGAAGAAAGCAGCTGTTACGTAGGCACTTGCCAACCCATGCTCTCGCTGCGAGGGTCCAGGGGTGTTTTCTCGAGGCATCTACCTAGTCCAGTAGTTGAAGGGAGAAGGTAAAGGAGGAGGGATCAGAGAAGGAAGGAAAAGAAGGGAGGAAGAAAAAATGAAAGAGAAGAGAAGTTTCCTGGTTGACAAGTGCATTGAGACTGTGTTACCCCAGTCCAACCAAAGTTGCACACAGATCAGATCGCGCGCGCGACTACATGCGAAGTTTGATCGCTGCATCATAGGACTTGCACGATTTACTGAAATCACTCAACAAGTAGCTAAACCCTCAGGCCCTAAATGAGAGGGGCATTGAAGCAGTCGAGACATAGACCAGCGAATGTTGCTAAAAACAGTAACCGATTACGAAATTTGTGAGAGTTCAGTTTCGCCAGTTGTGGGTGATTGCCACAATTGATTTCTCAACGACCCTGTTGACGAACCTAGAACTTCTCCATTCACAGTTGAAAAAGTGGATGCGCACTCTCAAAACATCAAAAACGAGAACGGCCACGTGCAGGGTAACCGAGTCTTCGACCCTTAAAGGCAGTTGGCACGATAAATCCCCCAAGGCGACTAGGATCAATACTCCTGGCAGGATAGAATTCCGCGACCCTGGGCAGGCGCTGCATAGCGTTTTCCCGAGGAAGGTGCCCTTATAAGGGCCCTATCAAGCCACAACTTTACGTCCCAAACGCCCGCATTTTCGGTAGCGGTGGTTGGTAAGATGCCTACGGGGAAA